TTTATTACAAGCATGTCTGCAGGACATGCTTATATATGAGCTTACAAAACCCAAAATCAGCAACATTAAAATTGCAGAATTCAAAATACAATATTTGAACTAAAGTTAATTAGAAAAGGAAACAGCTATTTTAAGATTTCTATCCCAAAGGCTAGAAGCAGGAACCAACAAGCCTTTGCAGGAACAAAACATTACATTTCAGTCTAGTTTTCACAGTTTACGGCAACAAACAGCCCAAAGTCAACTCTCACACGGACAATACACGATATGTAACTAGGAAAAAGACATAAAACCAGTTTTTAAAGCGTAGACTTATTCGGTCCAAGGGAAAGATGAAACTCTCTCAGGCTGAGAGAGTTGGGCTGTTCAGCCTGGAGAAGAGAAGGCTCCGGGGTGATCTTATTGCAGCCTTCCAGTACTTAAAGGGGCTGCAGGAAAGCTGGAGAGGGACTTTGGACAAGGGCGTGTAGTGACAGGACAAAGGGCAATGGATTTAAACTGAAAGAGGGGAGATTTAGACTGGATATAAGGAAGAAATTTTTCACTCAGAGGGTGGTGGGGCACTGGAGCAGGTTGCCCAGAGAAGCTGTGGCTGCCCCATCCCTGGCAGTGTTCAAGGCCAGGTTGGATGAGGCTTTGGGCAACCTGGTGTAGTGGAGGGTGTCCCTGCCCGTGGCAGGGGGGTTGGAACTAGATGATCTTTGATGTCCCTTCCAACCCAAACCATTCTGTGATTCTATGAAAGGAAGCAAAGAGTATTAACACATCACCTAGAAGGAGGAGGTAGAGCACTTAAGATATGCATATGCAAATGAAAACAGAGCAAGAGAAGAAAAAAGCTTCTCGATTCTCATGGTTAGATAGGGAGGGGGCAACCATTTTTAATCTAGTTTTATGGAATACTAAACATATCTGTCTTTTTAGAAAAATCTTGACTTTATACTCTGAAAAAGATCAGAGTCTGAATTTAGCCTAGGATATGAAGTCAAGGCTCTGGATGACCTAATTTCAAGAACCACTGCGAAACAGAAGCTGCTAGAAGTACAGCACGTTTGAAAGCCAGAAGAATAGACATTCAAATATGAACTAGCCTCAAACTGAGACTTTTGGTTTAATGAAAAACCCCACAACATACAAGTCTTTATGCAAGATGACAAACCATAAAGTTGAAATATTACGATTGCAAGAATCAAAGTGTAAGTAAAGACTTGCCATTACTTCCCACTCTTACTGTGCTAGCACCACAGAACCCATTAAAGAGATGAAAAGCTGTAACACCCAACATCTCAGCTTTACTGGGACAGTGTTGATATTGAGGAATAGTAAGGACTATAAACACGTGAAGTACAGAGGGAGTAATTTTTGTTATATTTAGCATATTCTGTCTCTTTGTTGTCCTGTTTTCTTTAATGCGTAAGATCCGTGTACATACCTAAGATTCCCAGTTTTAGAAAACGGATCGATACATTCGTCCCGTGACAATATCCGATGGGAAAAAAGCTTCTTTTCAGGGTCCAAAAATCCTTTTGAAAGGAGAAATCAAAAAGTTAATGTTCGAGACGTTTGTCCCTTGTTTATGTTCTAGAGAATTAAGCTGTTTTCATCTGTCCAACAGCAGTTTAACTAGCAGACCATTTTAAGATAAGAGATACTATACTGGGCAAAGGGTAAGCACAGTGGACCGAGCAACTACCGCAGCGGGATCAATTTTTCAAATCCCATCTCGTTTTCCTTCAACGGAGCAACAAAACTGAAATCCAAAGAACTAAATTTACGACAGCCGACTACACGCGGCTGAAAGAGATAACAGCAGGTGATTGATAGATACGGATGATTTTGGCAACTTACATTTCTCTCTCTACAGGTGGTTCTTTAAAGCTAAATGTTCTCCTTAGCTCCTGATGCCTAGGGACTGCAGAGGAGTCTCACAAGAGTCGGCAATGTGCTGCAATACTCAAGCACAATGGGCAAGTCCAGGGATGGTTTCAGCCGGAGCTCTTGCATTTGTAGGTTTTAAGTTGTACCTCTAACAAATACTTTAACACATTTACATACAATGAATGTATCCTGGGATTCCTAGAAATATATAGGCCCAGTTGCAGTAACTTATTCTGAGTGCAAAAAAAAAAAAAAAAAAAGGACAACACAAAATGAAAACAGGAGAAGCTGTGCTAGCTGATCTGAAAGCGAGACAAAATGCCATTATTTTGGGCAACGGTGACTTGGGTGTACAAACAGGCATGCACATGCTTCTGAACCTGGTCTCCAACAATGAAGTTCATCTTCATGAACAGATCACAGCCACGTAAACGTTTGGTAAGAAACTGGCGTTTTACAGGCTAATCTGAATTTTTTATTTTACTAAATTTGCGTTGAAGTTAGCGTCAACTTCTCATTATTCTTGTGCGTAATACAAGTCAGTCGCTATTTATCTAGGAATAATTTTTTTAAAGTTCTACTTTATTTTATTTTAAATGGTGGCCATCTTATAGCCAGAAAGAGACTTGAAAATGACTACAGACTCTAAGGACCAACTTTCATTTTCTTTCAAGGAGCTTTGAGATTTGCACAGAAGGCACGTTCAACTCCTTTTAGAAGCCCAGCTCCTAGGAGTGCGTTAAGTTGGGTTCTGAAAACGGAGGGTATAAATTAAAAAAAAATAAAAAAATAATAATAAAAAAATATCAGTCAGCCCTTCTGAAAAGCTGATCCTGTATTTAATACTGATGTGTCATTGGAATAACTTAAAACCCATAAAAGCAAGAAAATTCCGAGTTAAGGACAGAGGTTCAACCTTAACTCACCCGACTATGCTTAAGAATTGCTGCAAACTCGTAGAATCATCCCCTGCAGTGAGACCCTTGCAGTACCTAGGCATAACGAATTGAGAGAATTAGCTACAAAGGTTCATTGCTGCACGCACAGAGACTCTGACAAACTACATAAGCTGTCACACAAGTTGCTGCTCTCCCCAACCAAATTAGCTTCTGCTAATTATCTGAACACACAGGGACTCTCTACGCTAAATGGAACAGGAGTGCACTGATGGAAAGGCAAAACCACGAGGCGCTCCGTTGCAGCGTTGGCTTCCTAAAACTGTAAGAAAAGGGAAGTTGAACGAAGAAAGCTCAAACACAAACTCTGGCTGCCAGGGATTAGAGATGAGGTAGTGTACAGCCATCTTTCAGTACAGGCTGAAAGAGTTGGGGCTGTTCAGCCTGGAGAAGAGGAGGCTCCGGGGTGACCTTATAGCGGTCTTCCAGTACCTCAAGGGGGCCTACAAGAAAGACGGGGAGAGGCTGTTCAGGAGGGCCAGTTGTGATAGGACAAGGGGTAACGGTTTTAAAATAAAGGGAGGTAGGTTCAGGTTGGATATTAGGAAAAAATTTTTTACCATGAGAGTGGTAGAACACTGGAACAGGTTGCCCAGAGAGGTGGTGGATGCTCCATCCCTGGAGACGTTCAAGGCCAGGTTGGACGAGGCCCTGAGCAACCTGATCTAGTTGGAGATATCCCTGTTCCTTGCAGGGGGGTTAGACTAGATGACCTTTGAAGGTCCCTTCCAGCCCTAACCATTCTATGATTCTATGATTCTAGTGCTCTGGAGCTTTTCGACAACGCTTTGGTAAAGACTTCTCAATTTTAGTATTTTTTTCCCTTGATAATCCACTACAAATACACTGAGGATACAGAGACATACCTGCAAAGGTAAGAGCCCATCTTAAGGGAGTCGGGTCTTTCAAAGCTAAGCTACTTGAATAGAAATACAGAAAACAGCTAAAAAAGCTCTTTACATATCTTAAACTGGTTTCTTTCAGATGTTGCCCAGCCAATTGAATCAACGTAACAGACACAATCCTGATGTTTTCACGTTTCGGGGAAACGGCAGGGAAAATTTCATTTTTCATACGTTTTTTCAGCAGGATGTTAGTATCATCTTTAAATCTTGGAAAAAGATTTATAGGAAAAACCTATTCAGTGATTCTGCTCCCTGCAAGAGCAAACCAGACACCAAGTGGCCAGATGACATTCTGTTACTTAAAACACTAACTTTTGTTCCGTTTATGATTGCAAATAGAACATAAATTTGAAGAAACGAAAACTTGACTTTAAAAAGAAGTAGATGCAGATATGCCCTCCAAGATAAAACTACTAAAGGCTAAGATTTAACTTCTTTACTAAAAAAAAATAAAAAAACCATTGTTATAATGCTTTCAGTAACAAAAAAATGGAAAACTCATTATGAAACACTCTACCACCTCCAAAATAAAAATCTTTTCGCAACCTACATATTGAAAAATCTAGAATTTTATGATAGTATGCTGTTTGGATATTAACCTTTAATAATGAAGCTGCAGGTTTTAAATGGGTGATACCTTCCAAAGTACTGGTGGCCTTTTCTTTAAGAAAAGTCAAGGCAGACCACCAAAAAAGCACCTTTTTAGACAATGTCACTTTTCTGTGGGGGCAATTTCTTGCAAGTTTCTAAGACTTCAGAGCAACGAAAAGGTCTATGTATAAACTCATCGAGTATATAGAAACAGTGGAAGTGTTCTTGAGATGTACTCTTAACTTTGCTTCATTTATTTATTCCTATCCATTTCCCACCATCATATCCTGAAAAATTACTATGGTCACACTTTGCTGTCTTAGTGTTCACAATGACTTTTTGTTTAACAGATTTTTTTTTTTTTTAATTGGAGAAGTATCAGTTTGCAGAAATCATTCCAGCAGAAGGATAAAGGTTAATGATTTTCTCATTTTGTAAGCACGTTTAAAAAAAATGTAGAAGTCATAATGACTGGATATAAAGACTTGCTCTTTCAAATCCAAACTGACCTTCCGTTCATTCTCATAAATTACATAGTGTGCCAAGTATTCCTCTAAGTAGTTTCTTGAACAAACTGAAGACACTAGCACTACCCTTTGACTGCCACATCACGAGGTCCTATTCCATAGACTTAGCTAGCAGAGACTATTCCCCCCACTTGTTTGTTTTCCAGTATCTCAGACTGGGTCTTTGCACCTACAGTGTTATCAAACTGTGTTATCTGATCTTATATAGACTCTCTCTTAGAAAAGGAAACTTGTAAATAAGACTTGTGAAGTTAAGTTAAAAAACCATCACAAGATGCAACGTTCTAAAGTAACTAACTCATATTGGGGAAGTCTCAAACCTTCGAGGCATATTGAGTTAAACAGCAATTCCTAGTAGAAGTGATTTAACAGTAGGATCCAACACGAACTTGAAGAAGTTCTTTTAAAAATAAATCTAAAATTGAATTTCTGAAGAATGAGGTCACCTTCAGTTCTACTTCAGGTCCTACTTTACAACCTGGAAAGAGCTGGTGACCCAATCTTTCAATAGCATTGGAGACTTTCAGACATTGGTGATTACATATATGCACGTATTCCATCAATCATTTATTGAAGGACATCCTATAATACATTTGCTGTGACAAACCACACCTATCAATGCTCTCAACTTAGTTCCACTTTCTAAATTCCACTATAAATCTTAAGAGTTAACGGCCTCCGAACTCAAAATTTGCACTGGCATTGACTTTTACAACCAACATTTCAACTGACTTCAGCATTAAATATACCCAACTTCTCTTATGCAGAGCAGGAAAAAAGTTAAGCAACATTTGGTCAAAATAATTATGTAGAAGAGAAATACTAGATTATAAAATCCAAAACTCATCTTCATAAACATACTACAAGATACCACTTTGTAAACACGTCAAACTAAGAAAGGGTTTAGGATAAATGACTTCAGCAGACATAAATGGTGGTTACAAATATCAGTTCATCCCACTTAACAGCTGGTAAGAATCAGCTGGGACGAGAGAAAAGGACTAACAAGATGTCATCTGTTTGCAAAATGAGGACAGTGCCTTCCAGGGCATGAAAGAAGCAGCTCAGAGTTCAGATTTCACCAAGAAATACAGGATGTAGATGGAGGACCTAAGGAAACAATCTTTTTCTTACGAAAAAGATTCCGGGCATTTTACTCCAAGTCCTTCCTTTACGTAACACGAGGATACTGGTAAAATATTAACCTGACAGCTCTCTGTGAGAAATGGTTTAACCAACACTGCCATCAAGTGTTCTCTATACGTACTAGCTATATGATCCTCTCACTGCATCTTGGTTACCCAGGTGAGCACGTGGACCAAAGGCTCTACCAACTGTTTCTCCACACCAACATATTTCAACTGAAACTATCACCATCACTGTGCAAGTAATCCACTTGTAGTTTGAATGCTTTCGATGAGGTGAGACAGCTTCACGCCAACATCCAGAAGCCAGGGGATGTCAGGAAGCAGCAATTCCCTACTTTGCTCATTTGGTGGCTATATATCTCAGGTTGCCCAGAGAAGCTGTAGATGCCCCATCCCTGGAAGTGTTCAAGGCCAGGCTGGATGGGGCTTTGGGCAACCTGGTGTAGTGGAGGGTGTCCCTGCCCATGGCAGGGGGGTTGGAACTGGATGATCTTTGAGGTCCCTTCCAACCCAAACCGTTCTATGATTCTGTGATTCTAATTCCTCTACGGAGCAGATGGAGCAGCTCGAGTATGGTGTCCAAACGGGCTCGTCACATTGTTAACAGTCTGTGCCAGCACGGGGACTGCAGGGTAATCCAAATTTTAGCTCAGAGATAAAAATCAGCAAACAGAAGACCAAATCACACACTGAGGGAAGATCAGTCATTGGGAAAGCACTTACACATCATGAGTTAACTACTCCTCTCTATTACTATTCCTCTCCTTGGCTCTGAAGCATATATACTATACGTCTTCTGACCTTATGTGGTACCCTCTAGGCCACAAGCAGATTTCAGATTGGAGAAGTCTCTTATATTTGTCATTACAAGCATCTTCTGTGGCTTATTTAACACATATGAAGAATTCTCTAATTACACACTCTTCTCTAAACTGCTCTAGAGCTAATGAGGACAGTTAGCTCTCTAACTATTTTGGAATATTCCATTCTCGCCAAGAAGTGGGATCATTGGGATAGCATTGCTCAAGGCACTTGTGGCAACACCCCACAAAAAAAGCAGGTGTTGAAGACAACTTAAAAAAAAAAGCTAGGAGACATGGAACAGCAGCAAGGACAGCTTGACACGGAGAGTCATAACCTAAAACATTGTTATTTATATTACCTGAGAGACTTAATAAAGGAAAGTCTGATGTGAAAATGCCATTCTGTCAGGGTAGACTCAAGATAAAGTGAAAGCCAATTTTGCAGTTTAAACACATGGTCACACTCCTAACAGGAATGTGACCCATATGCTTGTGTAACTTTTATGCTTGTTGAAAAAAAACAAAACATTTCAGCCAGTGACCCATGCCGTAGACTATGATTGCTATAATTTAAATGCAAGTTTTCAGTTACTAGGAGAAAATATTTCTAAGTTCTTGAGAAGAATATGTGAAAATACTGCAAGATTTGTGCTGTTCCTCAAATAAGCACATCTCAGCTCCAGGACACAAACAGAACTGCTGCAAATGGATTTATAGCAGCCAAACTTCCTTTGGTGAAAGGAAACAGCAGGGAGGGTTCCCCACAGAAGCAGATAATTTCATGGTGTTGATTTTTATGGAACTGTTGTTTTGGATTTCTAAGACAAGTGATGGCACAGATCATTTTTAGAGCCCATCAGCATCATTTCTTACTTAATTCAATAGGAAGACACTAGTTGTCAGGCCACAAGCTGATTCTCTCACCATCAGCAAAGCAAAAAAGCACGTCCGATGGAGGAAAAAAAGGGATTATTTTTAAAATTACAGGCCATACGGGCACTGCCTTGTAAATGAGCCAAGAATTCTGCTTACAGTACTATTTAGGAAGTGTTACTGCACAAAAACAACCACAGAAGGAAAAACTAGTTATATGAGTAGGAAGGTTGATTACGTAAATATTGTTAAATGTAACATGCTACTCACCTGCTATTGTATGTGCATACAGTCTGCTGCCAAAAGTAAAAACATGCAATTCATACAGCTTGGCAATTTTTTCCAGGAATTCCTTACAATGAGGACGCAATCGAGTATGCAACATAGGCTCACCTCGACCTAACTGGAAATGAAATATTCCCTAAAAGAAAAAGCATGTTTCACATTATCAAAACACAAACCAAAACCACCAGCATTCCAGAAGTGCCCTCTTCCATCACTTCCACTACTTTTATTCAGTCTGACTAGGCTAAAGCAAATTTTGACCACAAAGATCATGTGGATGAATAAAATCCCAAGCCCATTTTGCTCTGTGCCAGGAGGTCCAACACTACATTTTTCAACTGCAGGAAGCTTTGCACTGTTGGAAAGTTTATGATCAAGGTGACTTTCACTCAAACCTTTGCTTACGGCAAACCACTCTGAAAAAAGCAACCTGAGAGTTTTCTCAGAAAGTTCAGGATCTCACTCCAACTGGTACTACTCAGCCACTGGAATAGGCTGCCCAGGGAGGTGGTTGAGTCCCCATCCCTGGATGTGTTTAAGAATAGGGTGGATGATCTACTTGAGGATATGGTTTAATGGGGATTAGGGATGGTTGGACTCGATCTCTAAGGTCTTTTCCAACCTAGAAATCTATGAATCTATGAATCTATATCGAGGTCAGAGAAAGACTTTGTTGGAGGAAAATATATAATGTCTGTGGAAACATGCCATCAGATAGCAAACCAGGAAGGAAGTTCGCAGATAAAGATCCCTGTTAAAAATCTCAAGATCTTTTCAAGAATGTTTGTCTTCAAACCATGTATTTATACAGATGAAGACACAGCCTTTCAAATACACAAGGTTTTTTTAATCTTTAAGCTAAATATTCTCTGTTTCCTTTCCTCTGAATTGCAAACTGCATTTACAGCTTGTTTTTTGCTAGCAGGTGTGAACACATGCTGAACCTCCTGGACATGAGAGAACTACAAGAGGAAAGAAAAAGGAACTAAGCCACTGAAGCTTGCGTGATGCTGGAGCTTGAATTTGCATCCTCCTGTATAAGAAACTGTAGACACATTCCAACGTGCTTCTTGTTTTAAAGCTTCCAAACTGGAAACATTACAAGCCAATCGTGCCTATCAGGTCAACAACAAATGTTTCAAGAAGAAATTGAACAGCAACACCCAAACTCTTCCCCCAAAAAAATGAAACCGAAGGAAAAAAAACTCTCACGATATACTACATCTGCCATTCCATGAATAACACACAGGATTATCCAAAAAGGGACTTCAAATAGTAATTCACTATATCTGTCTCAGACTTGGAGGGGAAAAAATTCTCATCACTGAGTAGTCAGCTTCTGAATTGTAGAGGAAGAAAAGCAAAGATTAAAAATAGCTACTTGAAACACTTGAAGTGACTGGAATGGAAAAGTGCAGGAAAGCATAAATGGAAGAAAGAAAACTGTCAGTTTAAATGTAGAGAAAAAAGGAATATATTCCAAAAGACTTGCTTCTCATTTTCTGTTATTCTTCAACTACAGTTCTACCTCACCACAGAATATTTCCTTGAAAGAACCGTCATTTCAATAGCTATAAATATTCTTGTTGTTACTCTGGCTTGAAAGTTAACACCAAATACCTTATTAGACATCTGTTGGCAGTGCTGTTCTGTAGTATGGATCAATGTCTGGTCCAAATCTACCATGAGCACCAGTTTTCGATTTCGATGTAGTCGCTGTTGATCTTCTCTTCCTAGCTGCTCCGCTTGCTGTAACAAAATATTCCCAACTGAGCTTAGCTTAAAATAAATAAGTTAGGCTTATTGCCTTTTGCGTACTGGAAGCTTGAGCAGAAGTTCTGCTACGAACTAACTGCATAAGAAATGATGCTTCAACATAACTTTAGCAATGTCAGCAGTTCTTCTACAGAAAGAAAATATTCCCCAAGTCTACTCTCAGATCTTTGTAACACCAGTAACTCTTAAAATTGATAAACTCAACACGACAACTTCCAAACTTAGTAAGTTACCATCAAATTAATTTAAGTGCAAGAGTCTTGAAAGAGATTGCAGTAGCTTTGGGGAACACACAGGACAAGTTCATCAGTCGGTCTGAGAACGGGCTGCTACGTTGAGCAATTTTGTATTAATTAGGTACGATACCACTGCCCCCACTGGGCTGAGTATTCCACTGAAGCTGCTAATGACAGAAATGATTATAACTGTCAACCTGAGCTTAAAGAACATATGTCTTCAGACAGAAATACTTTTATTATGGAGTTCTAGGTGGGCACTATATCAAAGACCTTATACTGCAGTAACCCTGAGTTAAAGTTTACTCCTCTCGTGCATGTTCACAGACTTTCAAAGCACCACGTTAAGCTCCGTGTTCACTTTAACCATTTCTGACAGCAAGCTGCAGTGTTACCCACCAGACAGGTAAATTTAAAAGCAACACTAAGTGGAGCATTATGAAGAAGCAGGAGTCAAGTGCAAACTGCCCTTTGAAATGCTCCTCTATGATGGGGACACTTCTAGCTGCTTCTGTCTCCAAAGAACACCAATGAGAGGAAGCGTGAAAAGTTACCAAAAATGAAAAAAAAATTGATCAAGCAGCAACATAAAAAGGTCAAAAAGATCAAGTTGGTAAAGAAGATAAATGGAATGTTTATCTTCAAAATAAACATGCTGCTTCCTCTAAAGAAACTAAGGAATGACCAAGGGTATTTTGACAACTTAGCTAAATGGAATATTTGAAAAATAATGAAATACATTTAACTTACAGGTAAGCTGCAAACAAACTGGCTTTTACTGTATCTAGTGGGGCAAATTTCAAGGTGAAGGGCGAAGCTAAGTTTAAAAGACATTGCACGCTCCGAACACATTTCAGCTAGTAGAATTGCGTCCAGTTCTGGAGTCCCCAACATAAGAAGGACATGGACCAGTTGGAGAGGGTCCAGAGGAGGGCCACGAAGATGATAAGAGGGCTGGAGCACCTTTCCTATGAGGACAGGCTGAAAGAGTTGGGGCTGTTCAGCCTGGAGAAGAGGAGGCTCCGGGGTGACCTTATAGCGGTCTTCCAGTACCTCAAGGGGGCCTACAGGAAAGATGGGGAGAGGCTGTTCAGGAGGGCCTGTTGTGATAGGACAAGGGGTAATGGTTTTAAAATAGAGGGAGGTAGATTCAGGTTGGATATTAGGAAAAAATTTTTTACCATGAGAGTTGTAGAACACTGGAACAGGTTGCCCAGAGAGGTGGTGGATGCTCCATCCCTGGAGACGTTCAAGGCCAGGTTGGACAAGGCCCTGAGCAACCTGATCTAGTTGGAGATATCCCTGTTTGTCGCAGGGGGGTTGGACTAGATGACCTTTGAAGGTCCCTTCCAGCCCTAACCATTCTATGATTCTATGAAACTGAACTTTCCACAAACTGCTCGTTCTTGGAGACAAAAATATTAGAGCAGTAAGTTTTCCCCCTTCTGTCAGAGAAGTGCCATCTTTTCAAGTGCACAGCTCTAAAAACACAACGATAAAACCTGGTAACAATCAATCTGCATTAGGGTAAATGCACAAAACCCCTGGGCTACTGATGTTCAACACCAAATTCCTCTTCAAAGGAAAGCCAAACTTTCTGTATTAAGTACATAGAACATTGAAGAAGCTCCTATAATTAAGCTTCTCAGCAGTGAAAGGTATGAACAAAGCAAGCATGATGGTGCTTACCTCAGAGCTAACTTTCAGTTCTGGGACACTGTGAACCATGGATACAGTTGCTGTGGATAATGGCACATTCTGCTTTCCGTTCTTGCTTCGTATCCTAATCGCACAGGGAAAACGAGCATCAAAAGAGAGAGCAATAATTTAGTGAAAAGTTGAATGCACTAAAGGCTGTAGCATCAAACTAGTCACCAGCAAAAAAACTATGATTAAAAAGAGCTATTTTGACTAATGCACTCTTTCAAAGTCTTGTTAATGCAAATTACTGAACGAAATGGATACAGAGACCAAAGCAGCTCACCATAAACAGCAAAAAGTCACTGTAATTAGTCATGCTTCCATATAATTATTTCATGAAAAACAACACTAAGACGAAACAGACATCTGTGTATTGACTGGTACTAGAAAACAGTTACAAACTAAGCGTAACAACCAAACCATTCCAATTTAAAACTAGTTCTTTCCTTTGTTTGCAATCACTCAGCATGCAATTATCTACTTCTCCCCAAGCCAGACTATGAAATAAATTTCAGCAGAAGATAGGCAAATTACTCCACGCATAGCAGAGTGATTTACATGTGACTGCTGCTTCAGGAAAAGCATCCAAAAAAAAAAAAAATCTCCATACATGCTTTTCCCTTCAGCACAAACAGAACGGGGTACTATACACGTGTGTGTCTGTATTTTATTTATGTTTATCTTATACACATATATAGGTCTTACTCATACACATGTCTGTATGATGTATAGATTTATGTATATACAGATAAGTATTCATTATTCAGACAGAATACATACCATCTTTTATTTATTTATTTTATAATACATTATATATTTATATATTATATATTTATATATTATATATCTATATATTATATATCTATA